CCCACTGCGAGGTGCCCGAAGTGATGTAAGTGTCCCACCCCGCCTATGCCCCCTGCCCCGCCTGCGCCCCTCGCCCGCGCTCACCCCACTCCTCTCTGTCCCCCCAGAGCCACCATGAAGCACGGCAAGAAAGTGTGTCTGGATCCTGCCGCGCCCTGGGTCAAGCTGATCATCACCAAGATCCTGAACAGGTACTGGCGGAGCGGGGTCGCTGTGCGTGGTGACAATGGGCCAGATCGGGCTGCTGAGTCTGAACCACTGGATACTTCTCCTCACAAACAGCTGGCCCAGTCAGTCCAGCTACGGGATGGGGTGGGGGGAACGAAACCCAGTTGTCATGTAGAAAAAGGAGTTTCTATAAGTGTCTGTGCTCTGAGCCATTTCACTGGGTTTGTGGCTGGTGGGGCCCCTGCCTCTAACTGCCATGGATCTCACCTGTCTCATCGCTGCCCACTGGTCCTGGGGACACACACAGAGCGCCCCCAGAGGGCAGCTGTAGTGCACAGGCAACGCAAAAAGGCAAGAGTGCAATGAGGCTTCCCTTGTAACGTCTATTTTCTTTTCTTTCACAGTAAATCAAACAAACTGTGAGGAGAGAAGAGGAACTAGGAACTACAACAGAAACTACCTGTGTGTACATGGCAAGAAAAGCGTGGCGGAGAATGGAGAACTAGTCAGGGTGAACGCTGCTTTTGAAGGTCTGATAGACTGCACTGCATTCAACTTCAACGCATTCCACTGACTTATTGCAACCTCTTCTTATTTATGTATTTATTCATATATCTCTATAGAGAGCTAGCTCTTCAGTGGCTAAGTGTTATTGTTAACCTCCTTAGGTTTTGTGCAGGGGGGCACCGGAGATATCTTGTTGTCAACCTTATACACCTTCTACCGAACCTCAGGTACTCTGAACAGGTCAAAATGGACAATACTGTGACCTGTGCCTTGTGGACCGGCATGATGCCCTCTGGTTTGTGGAGAACCAGAGACTCACATTCTGGCACTGCCACCCATTTAGCCTTTGTGCACAGAGATATTTAGGAGGATTATAAAATGAAATCCACTTAGAACAAACACAGTAACTTGCTACAGTCCTGAAATGTGTTGCCAAGACAGGTGTCCTTACGACACAGAATCGTGTGTTAAGTTAGGTGAAACAGACTCACTGCTGTTCTCCTGTAGAAAGCAATCTTTAGGAAGATGTGGCTTCCAGTCACCAGCTGAAGTTGGTGCAAACTCTTTGGGTTCTCTTTTGATGCGTGTTAAATTATTTTTATACAATTTAAATATGTGGCATTTATGCTGAAAGTTTAAGAACAGTAATGTTCTGCACATCCTTGGACATTTTATGTCTTTGCTGTATGACACACTGTCATGTTTTGTGAAAAGCGGTATTATTATACTGTACTAAAATGAAGTAATTGTAATAATGGAGGGAGTTATAAATAAAATATTTTCTGATTAAAAGTGGTGGAGTCTTCTGCTCAGTTCAAGTTAATGAACATGCATCTGTCACAGTGGGACCCCTGGAAAAGTGTGGTGTGGGTGGGACTAGGTATAATTTACACTCTGGCCTTCAAGCTTCCCTCTCTTCCTGGTTTTAGCAGGCTTTTGTCTGCATTTAACATACTCTTGGAGCCAGAGTTGCAATATTTAAGGTCATCTTCTGGAGGCCTCATCATGAAGGGAAATCCAGCCTTGGAACATGGTTTTGTGAGGATGGAAGCTGCAAGGCCTTTCACATTTGTTTAACTTTCCATGGGACTACTCTTGTGTAAAGCACTCTGCAAGATACGCACATAATGATTCTTTGCTGCTACTGGAAATAAGACAGCTCCAAAGAAAGCATAGAAGACAATTGTTTATATAAAACGTAATGATGCATCGGTTATTAAAGGGCGGAAGAATTGTTCGCGCCCCAGTAGCTAACTGCTTGAGCCCTGGCACTTCTGTGGTTGCAAATGAAGCGCTGCCACTGCCTTGCTGCGCTGAGCACCAGGGTGCATCAGTCCTACCCTACAGATACTCCCGTTAAGGAGCGAATAGGACCCCTATACTCCAGTTGTTTCGGTGTTCCGTGTCCACCTAAACACCCCGTCCCTGGTGAGCCCTCGGAAGTCCAAGGGAGCTTCGCCAGCTGGAGCCAGACTGCGTCTTACACGCCATGGAACTGTTCTTTTTAAAGGCAGCCGTGTGTTTTTGCAGCCTACTCGCTGCGCAGAGGAAAGCAAACGGAACCGAAAACGTCCCTTTGATGGTCACTTTCTCTTCTGCCGAACAAAGGCAACACAGGGAACGCGGGGGCTCGCAGAAAACGAGATCATGCTCTTCACATTTCAAGCGCAGCCTTGCGGGACTTCCAGTCCGGGCGGTGACTTGTCACTGTGCAAATCTCCGCTACTCTTGGCCAGACCCAGAGAGCAGGGAACGCCACTGGGGACAAAGGGTTGTTCCGAAGTTTTGGTGATCGGGGCTGGAGCTTGGAGCTCTCGGGGAAAACTGCCCTGACTGCAGAGGGAATTTGCGCCCAAGGATGCACCATGCATCGAGCCCGTTTCTTTCGTGGCAGAGTCGGGTGAGGCGTAGATGGACAGAAAAACAGCCTCCTAACCGCGCCAGCTTGTAAGGTCTTCAGTGGCCTGATTCCGAGGGGAGGGGGGAGAGGGGGTTAGGCACGGCTGCTGCTTTGCGCGTGTCGCTGTTCGCGCTGGTTTGAAGGTTTGCTGGTTGTCCCGGCTTCTCTATCTTGCCAGAGCGAGCCTGGCTCAGAAGCGCTCTGGCTTCCACTCCCCGCCAGCAGGTCTCTCTCCCTGTGCTGAGTTACACGCGAGGCGTCCCTGCATGTAGCTATGGAGCGCGGCCAATCTCACAGCCCGGCACTGCTCGCTTTGGGCCCGAGGCAATAAGCCAGAGGGAGCATTTGGCACAGGAGTGACCGAGTCCACAGTAGAATCCGAGGCCAGGCTGCAGCTCAAGGGGGGATGGAAACGGGCTGCGGGCCCGTTCGCTTTCTTAGCTTCCACTCCGGGGGGAAAGTTGCTTTGTGCACAGTGGCTGGGGGCGCCGCCGGCC